AAAACACTAATTCACAAACAACTATAATGATTCACAGATTTCGTTTTGTGTGGTTGACCTTCTCTGGAAAGCTAGTTGGGTCTTATTTTAACACACAGTACAGCGAATATTACAGGATACTGTACAAATTCTCACATTGTACGGTTTGCACAACTTGTCTGTTTAGCTGGTATTTCTTTTGGTTAAAAATACTACAGACGAATTTGGTGAAAAGTGATAAGCTTGTCAGATAACAGTATATCTCTCCTCTTGAGTAAGAATTATTTTGAGACAGCTCTCATGTCTTCAGAGATAATGTCCTATAACCTATCTCAAAATGAACCTGACCACCGCTGATTTATGTGCACTGTAACAGTCTCCATACCTTTTATGGCAACACAAGTAGCTGGGAATCTCCCAGACAAGGACCCTGAGATAGATAAATCTGTCCTAAAACAATGTACGGAAGAGATGTTTGCAAACACCTCTGATCCAGAAATTCAGCAGAACCGTCTGATAAAGATTTAACTGAAGACAGATAAGGTTTCTTCTTCCGGACCAAGCGAGGAAGGGAAAATTGGCAACCGGTACAGCAGTCAGTGTCCTCCGACACAAGTGAGAGACAGCCATTCGGTCAGCTCTCTTACACCCACGGTTCCAGAATGGTAATTAAGAGTTCTCTATCACCTATGTAAATTAAAAAAATATAAAGTTGAATCTACAGAATATAGAAATGTACCTCTGCTGTGAACTCGTCTAATAAAATTCCAACTGTCTTTAGTAATAACAAAACACATAATGGCTTACTTTTTCATGTTTGCACTGTAACATTTTACAGCAGAATGTTTAATGACATTGATGGATTGGGGAGAATGGGTCGTAACTTTGGAGAAAATGTGTGTAAAGCCAGCACCGGCTGTGAAGGTACTTTCTGTCTGCTATGGTTTTGTAAGGAGGGGGACTTCCAGACAATCTCCAGGTTTTATGTTTTATGAATTGGGATATGACATTGCCGAAGAACGATGGAATAGAGCATTTCAGATCCATAAATGGCTCACCTTATGTGCAACATATATAGACATTATGAGAAGGCTAACCCACATAGTTAATACAAAAAATAGAAAGTGATGTCACTCAGACACGAGCTCCATGCTACAGGCGTGGTGGATATGCCCACTGATATCCATGTACTGGTCTAAAGTACACATGTTGTTATTTAGGGCAACAGGGGTGACTATACCACCAACGGTTGAGTCCTATTTATTGCTTTTGTTGCCAAACAACCTACCCAAACAGTCTCTGAAACTTATATTTCTAATATTAATAGCGACAGATACAATAATGGCTAGAACGCGGAGATCTACTGCAGTGGTAGCAGAAACGGATATAAAAGTACACGTTTAACTAAATTGCTTCAATCAAAAATGATTCTTAAAGGACCACTCTAGGCACCCAGACCACTTCAGCTTAATGAAGTGGTCTGGGTGCCAGGTCCAGCTAGGATTAACCCATTGTTTTATAAACATAGCAGTTTCAGAGCTAGAGGCGCTTGCGTGCTTCTCACTGTGATTTTCACAGTGAGAGCACGCCAGCATCCATACGAAAGCATTGATAATGCTTTCCTATGCGACCGGCTGAATGTGCGCGCAGCTCTTGCCGCGCGTGCGCATTCAGCCCAGGAGGAGGATCGGAGGAGGAGAGAAGGAGGAGAGCTCTCCGCCCAGCCTGGAAAAAGGTAAGTTTTACCCCTTTTCCCCTTTCCAGAGCCGGGCGGGAGGGGGTCCCTGAGGGTGGGGGCACCCTCAGGGCACAATAGTGCCAGGAAAACGAGTATGTTTTCCTAGCACTATAGTGGTCCTTTAAACACGGTTGCGAAATCAAGAAACTCATATATGTATGAAACAATACTCACATATCCAAAATGTTTTCATGTCTGACTACATGGGCAAGCAGAACTAAGGGAACCACCTTAAGAATCTACCCACCTCTCCTTCCCCATCCTCTGCTTCGTTCTCCCTTTTATTGTTTAATTAACCACTATAAGATTTCATTTCAGTTTATTTAATTTCCTTTCACTTACAAACAACCGCAACCTTTGTGTATACTAATTATGCAACGTCATTGCATTTCATGGATTGCAAGATGTGTGTTGTTGTGTCTTTTTTTTGCATAAGACTCAATAAAACATTTCCAAATTGAAAATTGAAGTTAGCAAACCTTTCATGTAGGAAGTGTGTAGCAATGAATTCAATGTATCCTTATTTAAACCCCAGGTTTGTGCTTCGGTGGTTTGGTCAGAAAGAGTTATGTAGTCCCAATTTATTTTTCTAGTTCAGGGGTAGGCAACCTTTGGTACTCCAGATGATGTGGACTACATCTCCCATAATGTACATCTCCCATTATTTTCTTAACACCATCAGGGGCAAAACATCAGGGCAGATGTAATCCACAACATCTGGAGTGCCATAGGTTGCCTACACCTGTTCTAGAGGAATGTTTTACATGGGGTGTGCTAAATCATCCAATTCTACCCTAATAGCCCCTCTCTCGCCCCTCTCCTTATTCATTATCAGTAATAGAGTAACATGTCGTAATAACTGCTAGGCAGATTATATACTTTTTGAAAAACTGTCAAAATAAGACATGACCAGTTTTTAACAACAGTTTAATTAGCCTGCCCTACGACACATGATGAGTTAAAACTAGCTAACTAGTATTCTTTTATTCTTCTGCACTCTGTTTTGGTTCTCCACAAATTTAAAGGGTATTCCAGACGTGGACCTCTTGCTCACTGTGCCTGGAGGGGTATCAGCAATATTTCACTGACAAGGTGTAACAAGGCCCAAACGATCGTCTGAGGTTGTTGTATCTCTCGTACATAGAGAGACGGCCTACTTTTCCGATCTGGACTGCCTTTTTGGGTGGGATCAGTCTGAAATGCAAATTGCCCAGGTTCTCTTTGTAATTGATGCAAGATGAGCTAAAACGTGCTTGAGATTTGAGCGGGGACCCACCGTGTGGCAAGCTACATGAGCTGTTGTCTGTTCTCAGTATTCCCTCGCACCCGGTTTTTGACCTATCAGTTTGAATTAATTCATGGACGGAATCCAAATTTAAATGCTGTCAGTGATTAAAATCTTATTATCTTATTATCTTATTCACCCTATTACAGCCATTGAATCAGTTCTTGGAGGCACATATTTTGAGGATCCTTGAGACACACTAGTGTCCTACGCTAGTTGAAAACCACTGCCCTAGACCTCAGAGCACCCTCTCCTGAGATGGCCCTGGGATAGGAAGGGTTTGAATAGCTCTTAATGTTTCCTGTTCTGTCTGTTGGCTGAGAGGCAGTTGAGTGGCAGTTGAACGGCAGTTGAACGGCAGTTGAGTGGGTCAAGACAGATAGGTGAGAGCAGCTCAAGAATTAAAATCCACTTGTAACATAAATGAATGAAAAAAAAAGTATCAATTCACCTCCCCACTACCAATTTATTTTAATAAGAAAATAAGTGTAACATTTATTTGAGATGAGGAATGCCTAGTTATAACATATACTGTGAAATTATGTAAATGTATGATATTTGTATTTAATGTTTAATGTTTTATAGAAATATTTTATAGGACAAATCGTTGTAGAGATTAGATGGTATTTTATTTTTTTACATTGCATTATTTTACTGAGCCAGAATCTGAAATATGTGTATAGGAGCAAGACTACCAATGATGCCACTAACAGCAGTTTTGTAAAAAAATAGATTAATTAAAATGGTTAAATATCCTTTAAATGTTTGGGATAAAGCCCTAATTCAGGGCCAAACTGCGCTCCATGCGGTCAGGTTACATGTATGTGGCTGCTGTGCATCTTTAGGCTTGAGTAATCTGGACATCATTCTGGCATCATTTTACCCGCGTCATATAATATGGTCTGTAGCCGGCAACAAAATAAGGATGACGAGGATCCTGTGTCATTCTTACTTCTTACAATATACCCGTGGCTCATCGCGGGATGTCGAAGGGGCGGAGAGTCAACCCAGCGCCGAGGGACATTGGTGCTGGTATCACGTAAGTAAATAAAGTATTTTTAACCCTTTATTTAATGCTGGGGGGTGTGGGGGGGGGGGAAGGTGAGGCAGGGTTAGCGATAGTGACAGCTTTGTATTCCTGGCAATATAGTATCCCTTTTAAGCAAAATCCAGCTTTATTGATCCATCGTTAAAATATCCATCAGAAACATGATAATAAATATAATAAATGCTACACCCATGTAGCCCTTGCCAGTCTACGTGTTTTTTTTTCTATGAAAGCACCTTTCTTAAAACTTCACAGCAATGAAAGGATGATTCTGCCCAAGCCTGTATTGCATGCATGCTTACATTATTATTATTATTTTATTATTTAGCGCCATCAGATTCCGTAGCGCTGTACAATGGGTAACATCCAGTCAATGTGTTACCTGTATACTGAGTAACTTACCTGTCCACTGTGGCCCCAGTGGCCCCATTCCACAGCAAGCAGGAGAAATAATTGATTCAGTAATATCGGGAATTATGGTATAATGATACTCATCAATGTGCAGCTCTGAACATTATAAACAATGAAAGAGATAAAACATTATTTGCATAGTTTATGCTTCAACTATCTACTTTAGAGCTGTGGTTATGTTTGCGCCTTAGAGTGTCCCTATAAGTGCGTTTTGCTTAACCTTTTAAGGACAAGAGACAATCAAGGCTGTCATCAGCGTAGTAATGATTTACTGATTTACCACCAGGAGCTCTGCAGATCACATGATAAATGATCTGGGCATTCCAGGGGAGATTTAGCAAAGTGGCAAATTCTGGAAAGTCCGGCAAAGTTATAAAATAGGAGCAGTCACCAATAGAAAGTGCCTGCTGGCTTTCTTGGTTTACGTAGTGATTGTACTACTATTAACACTTTTTACCATTTTTCAGAACACAAAACTTCCATAAAACTCTCCCTCTGTGTCAGAATTGAGCGTCTAAGGACCAGAATGCTAAGAAACACACTCATTGATCCTTATGGGTTACGTTGGTTATGTGTTAATATGTTATTCTCATTTTCCTGCAGATGCTGAGAAATCCGAGGGACTGACCTCTCTACCATGGCCTCTCCGTGCTTTGCCCGTAAGTAGGAAGAATTATTTGTTGCATTATTATTATTTTATTATTCATATAACGCCATCAGATTCCATAGCGCTGTACAATGGGTGGACTAACAGACATGTAATTGTAACCAGACAACTAGACGTACAGGAACAGAGAGGTGGAGGGCCCTGCTCAATGAGTTTACATTCTATAGGGAGTGGGGGAGCTTATATTATCCAATATATTTATTGACATAAAAAGCCATGCTTTCTGGGAGTAAATGATGAGTGCACTCCAGGGGTGTGTAAATAGCATCAAAGGAGATCTACAAAACAGTTTCTATGGGATCTCTTTCATGATTGACAGCCTCTGACAGCATATTGATTAGTTAGTGTGATAACAGGACTCACAATTTCACATCCTACGCTAGTAGACAGTAGACTCATTCACCCCTGCAAACCTACAGGATTCATGGCACAATCAGCAGGGTATGGTTCTAGTCGCCAGGGCTGAATTTTCATTAGTCAGTGGCTATTGGGCAAGTTGAAATCTAGTGCCCTAGTAAAAAGATTTTCCAGCTAGCTTCATGTATGTCATATTGATGTCTTCTCGATGAGGCCACAGTTCCCTTACAGCTAACCGATATACCTTACTTTGTCATGGCAGGACTTCACATGGATGAGAACTTGCAGGTGATGCAGACTGGGTCAATGATGAGAAAAGTAAAATCCAGAAACTGGAAAAAGCAACGATATTTCAAACTACAAGAGGACTGCATGACCATCTGGTACAAGTCAAAGAAGAGTGGGAACACTAAGTCCACCTGTGAGTTACATGTATCTATAACAGATACCCCTAACACACGTATATAATGTCATGTAGACCATGACTTGTAATGATCACAAGTGATAGAAAATGGAAAATTGAACCCTGTGGCCATACTTCACACATTTACTTAAAGGACCACTATAGGCACCCAGACGACTTCAGCTCAATGAAGTGGTCTGGATGCCGGGTCCATCTAGGGTTAACCCTGCCTGCTGTAAACATAGCAGTTTCAGAGAAACTGCTATGTTTACATTAGGGTTAATCCAGCCTCTAGTGGCTGTCTCATTGACAGCCTCTAGAGGTGTTTCCGCACTTCTCACTGTGATTTTCACAGTGAGAAGACACCAGCGTCCATAGGAAAGCATTGAGAAATGATGGACTGATTGAATGCGTGCGCGGCTCTTGCCATGCAGGCACATTTGGCGGAAGAGGGAGGAGAGTGCCCAGCGTCGAGGGAGCCCTGCGCTGGAGAAAGGTAAGCCTTTAACCCCTTCCTCCCCCTAGAGCCCAGCGGGAGGGGGGCCATGATGGTGGGGAGGACCTATTAATACTATAGTGCCAAGAAAACGAGTTTGTTTTCCTGGCACTATAGTGGTCCTTTAATATATTTAACCTTGTAAGCATAGCTCCCTTATGGTCCTACGATGTCCACTAGTGATGTCCATCTGCCCCGGTGCTGTAAAATATACTCACTATACTCAGATTTAAACACAATAAAACACAATACATCACAAGCAGAGCAAAAATATGCTTTCATACATATTATTAATACATATGAAGTTGTTAAATATGTTTAGATGTTTTTATGCCGGCAATGTCCAGTTAATAAATTCATTATAGTTACCATATCTGCCGTATTTTGGGGTTGGGGACCATGGGGCGCCTTAGAATTGTTTGCCTACAGTAATCCAACATGTCAATCCAGCCCTGGTCAAGGCAGGCGCACATCCATATACATCAGAAAAAATCAATAAAACTGAGGAAGGCTAGCAGGAGACAAGATATGTTTTATAATGATAAATAATCCTAATGCATTTAAGGCAATTACAAATTAAACCGGTGGCAGATGACACGTCCGGACTGCTGTGATATAAACTGCCATTTTTTTAAACAAAGAATGTGAAGATTTTGGAAATTAAGGCTGATGAAGATTGATTGTTGGTAGATGCACAGAGTGAATTGAAGAAAGGCGTTCATAGATAACCCCACGAAAGAACGGGGTTCATGGAAAATCTGGATCTTGACGACACTTTTTCCTGCAGTAAAAATGGCAATTTAGTAATTAGTTTTACACCCACACAGAACCAAAGCCAAGAATAAAACTAAGAGAAAATTAAAGAGACTTTTGCATTGCAGAAGGAAATATTTCTCCCTGTCAGGCATTTTTATTGGCAGCAGTGAAAAAATACCATTAGTCGGCACTCAGAGCAGCCCGTGGCAGCAGGCTGCATGTGTGAGTGACTGGTTCTGGCAGGAGACTCTCCGCAGTTCCGGTAATGTGCCTGCGAGAGTCTCTGCTCAGCCTCCCCACTCACAGCACAGCATCAGTGAGGTCAGCAATTAATGCATTGCAGGGCATCGAGTGGTGATGGCTTTTACAGCTAAGTGCTGGGCTTTCTCCCTGCAAGACGGTCAGATGGGGTTCCTCGATGTCAGACGGTGACTCCATGTCTGTTTATAGGTCTTTGAATCCAATACTTGCCATATTCATCTAAAATAGCCCTAATATTCCTGTAACCGTCTCTTTCTGACATTCAGTAATGTGTATATCAACTCAATAGTTAATACTGACAAATCTGCCGTGTTTGGTCCTGTGCGAATCTGTATGGGATAGAATATATATGGAAAACTGAGTGGTAAGGTGATCACAGCCAACACCATATACTACTGTGACCTACTAAAAATATGTACAAAGAATATACACGTGCCCCTTACTAACGTAGGGGCCTTCAGATGCAGTGCTCAAATAAAACAAAACAATTTAAATAAATATAGTGTAATATTGTATAGGGAACAGCAAATTAGAAATAAAGTGAGATGGATGCACTCACATAATACAGAGCCTACATGGATAGGCTCTAATCTCATGCGCAGGTGTGCACTCAGATAGCAAAAGATCTCTTGAAGTTTCTATCAGAAGGATCTCAAACGAAAAACAAAAGTATGGCATCTAGTGTAGTAAGTAGGAGGTAAAATAGTATGCCAGGAGACAGTAAAACTGTTCCCTTTAAATAGAATAACACAAAACAACATTGGGGAGTATGGTTCTTAAAATACTTGCTACAATCACCCCGTGTCAAGTCACACAATATAAACACACAATAAAAGTGAAGAAACTATAAAAGATTGTTGACAACACACATAAATACTGAATACTGTTTCATCCTGAAATACAAAGAAAAAGGCAGACCATAGTGTGGTATAATAAATATCAGTGACACACATGTATATTTCTCACATTCAACTCACATGTAGTTGAGCCTATTTTAGCAGGCTCAGACTTAAGGCCTCCCAATGGATAAGGTGTTCTTTGGTCTAGTCTTAGAATGTAATTTAATTTAATCTAGTTTACCCTGTGACTTTTTATGATCTCTGTGATAATTATTTGGAATGTGTACCGTCTTCTTTTCTGATGACTGTGGCCGTCCTTTGTCTCGGTCTAATCTGCCTGTTTTCTGTTAGTTTCCATTAGTGATATTGAGACCATTCGAGAAGGCCACCAGTCTGAGATCCTGCAGAGCATCGCCGATGAGTTTTCATCTGACCTCTGCTTTACCATCGTCTTCCATGGCCGTCGCCGAAACCTTGACTTAATTGCCAACACACCAGAGGAGGCTCAACTCTGGATTCAAGGCCTGGAAAAACTAGTAGAGGCTGTGACAAAGATGGATCAGAAGGAGAAGATGGACCAGTATCTTTTCAGTAGTTTATTAACCAATATCAATGCAAGCTACATAGTCAGAGGGTAGATCAGGAATCATATTACCCTGTGGTAAGGTTTTACTGTTATGGTAACCTGGGTTAACGATTCCTCCAGAAAGCCACCTAACGTGATGAGTCCTCAGGGGATGGCTGGCAGCCTTAGGCCTGGGGGGCAAACCCAGTCAAGTGGCCCATTGCACCACCAAATCACTGCCCACCTTTTCCTGGTTTTATAACGGATATTGATGTTATGCTAATCAGTAGCTCTTTGCAATACCCGCTCTTTCACGGCTCTGACTGCCAATGTTGTCAGAGTGCAGGCTGAGAATCTCTGAGCCTGTGCTCCAACTCACTAACTGAGCGCCGAAACCACGAGGGAGAGGATATGATCTGACTGCACCTAGTGCTGGTGCGCACCAGTGGACCACCAGCGAATCGTTTAAATTGAATAGGCTGGCGTACCCATTTTGTGAGCTGTGTTGTACGCCGGGCGCCTCTGTTGTCATGGCACCCTGCGTGACCGCACAGCGTGCACACCCCAACGGCTGGCCCTGCTGACACACACTGACGTTACTACTTAGACATCCCTCAATATTAATACAGACATCAGAGTAAACACCAATAAACTGTGGAAACAGAGCTGATCCCCCCAATTTGTAAAGATTTGCTTAGTGGATTTGTTGTAAGATTAAATCATGCCTCCTCCTCTCTCCCATGCGCTGCTCTGTAGGCTGGGAGGAAGTGAAGAGTAATCACAATCTCCCAGCACAGCGGCACCTGTGGCTGCATGGGGAACAGATGGTTAATGTAATGCTTGCAGGACGGCCAGCTGCCGCAGAAACTCTTTGTTCCCGTCTCTGCAAAGGGCTCCACGCACTGCTTGCTGTGAGTGTGAGCCACTGTAAATTAGGGGCAGAGGGCACTTGCACTGCGGTAAAGTTGGGTCTGGGCAGGAGGAGAGTGCAGTGCAATCAGTGCACTCCCTTCCTGTGGGTCACCAGTAGACTGGTGCACCTGCCGGTGCAAGGATTTTTGCTGCCCTAGACAAAACAAAAATTTGCTGCCCCTCCCCCCCACGTGACATCACAATGCCCCACCCATATGATCTGCCATATGAACTAACGCCAGTGCTGCACTGGCCTGCAGGGACCGGCCTGCAGGGACCAGCTATAGACACCAGAACCACTTCATTAAGCTGAAGTGGTTCTGGGGACTATAGTGTCCCTTTAATGTGAGGTTAATTATAGATTAGTGTCACTAATAATATACTAGATTGCCTACTTACAACCAGATGAGGATGATGATGGGCTGCAGTTTGGCTCCACTGGTCTGGTGTAGAACAGGATCTCTGGAGGCTGTTTGCAACTGTGGTCACAAAATTCAATGTTCTGGGAGAATTGGAAGCAGCTCCATTTTTTAGGGGGCCCCTTACACAGTGTTATTGTAGAGGATCTAATATGTGTGCTTATGGTATGTAGTGTATAGGGATACCAGTTTGTTCAGGTGATGCAGTGTGTTTGTGTGTAGTGGAAGCAGTGTGTATTTGTGTATAATGGATGTATTGTGTGTTTCTGGTTGTGTGTAAGGGATGCATTGCGTGAATCTGTGTTTGTATGCATAAGGGATGCAAGGTGTGTGTCTGTATGTGTGTGCATTGAGTGTGTGTAAGAGATGCATTGTGTTTCTGTGTATGTAAGAAAAGCAGTGTGTGTGTTTGCATGTGTGTGTAAGGGTTTGCATTGTGTGTTTCTGTGTATGTGTGCAAAGGATGCATTGTCTTTGTGTGTAAGGGTTGCATTGTGTGTGTGTAATGGATGCATTGTGTGTCTCTCTGTGTGTAAGGGAAGCATGTTGTGTTTCTGTGTGTGTAGGGATGCATTGTGTGTTTCTGTGTATGTATGCATTGTGTGTAATGTGAAAGAGCTCCCTGTCTTGCCCCCTGTCCTATAGAGCTGTCCCTTAACAGAGCGCTCAGGCGGCTGCAGCATTGGGACCGGCCCTGTTGCAGCGGACGGGTTTAAAATGATTTAGGGCGGCCTGGGGGTAATTGCCTCCCTGCCCCCGGCCCAGCCCGCCCCTGTGAGTCCTTAAGTTCTACTCAGAACAACTTCCCAAGAGATGCTGATGTTGCTTTATGCAAAGAGACCAGTAGGGTTATCAAATTGTGTCTTGTATTAATGCTCAGTAATTGCAGGCTCATTAGAACATTTTAAATCTTTAGTTAAACGATGATCAGAATGGCGCTCAGTGGACATATTAATTTTAGAAAAGCAATAATAACTGCTAAGTGATAGGGGTTTAGTTAATGTGTTAAGCGGTGTATATAACTCAACGTGCGACCAACACTTAAAAATGGGGGAGGATAATGTTAATTAATGTTAATTACTATAAAATATGTATTATGACATGTCTTACAAAACCACTATAAGGATTAGCTTTTCCAATTTTCTAATGGAGGTAATGTTAAAACCCAGACTATACTTTAAAAAAACAAAAAACACAATTGTTGCTCAGTTTATATGACGCATAATTATTTAATCAGAAGGCTGCAATTTTACAATACATCAGGCTGATAACAAAGATAATTGTCATAAACTTTTATTTATTTTTTAGGACAAAATGTAAATATTCTTTTACAGTGGTGGCTCTTGACTTTGCGAGTCCTTTGGGGAAACTAAAACATGAGTCCCTCACTATCACTAATAGTGAAAAAATAAATAGGAGTTGCATTGTGTGTGTATATGCAGCTGTATCTATATTAAACGGCGGCTTTCAGCGCTGGATACTGAGACTTAGTCTCTGTATTCATTGTTCAGGTGCTTACAGTGCCGTGGCTCCCTCTGCCGCTGCGTTGTGAGCTCTCAGACTGTAGTTATGGCATCATTTGAAACTAAATTAGTTAGTAATTAACAAATGTAATTAGCAATTATGCTAATTGTGTTTAACCCCTTAAGGACACATGACATGTCATGATTCCCTTTTATTCCAGAAGTTTGGTCCTCAAGGGGTTAAGCGATTGCGGTGTATGGTTGCATAGCCTGGCAGACATGTATACATATGATCCGGTGTGAACTGGTTATTGGAAACAAAAATTAATATTTTGTTTGGGCAAAAAAGCTTTTCAAAAATAATTTACCAAATAAGAAAGTTACAAATAGGAAAAGAGTGTCATAGACATTTTCCCCACATATTCTATTTTTACATATCTATTATTCTATATGTTCTTTATATACGTTTCCCTGTGTTCTGTACGTGTATGTATATTATATATGTTATATTATATATGTTGCCACTTTACCTTTGCATTGCCCATACCATACCATACCACCGTCACATTGCAGCCATAAACACTCGCCTAGCTCACCGAATTAGAGAGCCACCTCTGTTCTTTACCACAGCTCCCTCTAGTGTCATGAGTAAGGAAGTCACATGTGGACAATGTCTTTCCTGCTGAGTTATAAATAGGAAATAAGAATTATAAAATCACAAGGAAATAAAACTTAATATGCACCAGGGAATACAATGAAAGCACATTCTGGAATAGCTCTCAATGATGCCTGAATTCAATAAAAAGTTATTTACTACTGTATGTAATGAACTCCAGGAAAGCAAGCATTTTAGAACAATTGCAGTATAAATGATCAGTTTGCAGAATCTATGATGACAGTACAGCCTTGCTGATTGTTCCCAGGACCTCTGATCAGATACAGGAGGTGTGACTTCAATGAACACACATATTGCTACTCTGATAATCATCTATAACTATAGCAAATATGTACAAAAATAAGATGGAGCCTTTAATAATACTGGCCCATCCTTTTTTTTACCCCCCTTTATGAGGCTGTATTATCCATTAGGATGTATCACCTTCGGAAATTCCCTTAACATGCCACAGATGGATTTGTGATTGGTTTGTGAAGGCAGACAAAAACAAGGATGGCCGTATGAACTTCAAGGAGGTCCAAGACCTGCTGAAGATGATGAATGTTGATATGAACGAACATCACGCCTACCGTCTGTTCCAGGTATGGAAAAATACAAAATCCGCCCTGGTCAATCCAACCTGATTAACTGCATACTGAACCAGAGGAAACATGTTTTTATTGTAACGACACATTTTGGAAACTTTTACTGGTAAAGCATAGAATTTGATCTTAAGGTTATTCGTGGATTTGTCAAAATAGCTTCATGCAGTAGTAACCTCGACATCTCTGCTTTCTGATTGTGAGACATCGTTTACTGTTCATATATTCAGTTATCAGAAAACGTTCCTTCTGTTTTTGCCCCCACTCTGTCTTGCAGATGGCGGACAAGTCAGAGTCCAGCACTCTGGAGGGCGATGAGTTTGTGTTGTTTTATAAAGCTCTAACACAAAGGGTTGAGGTACTGAAAATATTCCAAGACTTCTCCAAAGACGGCAAGAAGCTCGCATTGCTAGAATTTGTGGATTTCCTGCGTCAGGAGCAACTGGAATTAGACAACGCAGAGGAGTTTGCCATGGACCTTATTGCTCGATATGAGCCATCGGAAACAGGTGAGGTCTTAGACGTTTACTACAGACTAGAACAAAACCACCTTTTTAATGCAATATCTAGATAATAGACTTGTGCATAGTGAAACAATTTGGTTTGACGCAACATTTTGTCACGTCCAAATTTTGTCCATGCAAACAATTTGGAAAGGATGAACAAAAAGGACCCAAAAATGAGCCTTATGCACAATATATAAATATTACGTATAAGTATACATATTTTGCAGTACAGTGATTTTTTTACTGCTTTGCTTTTATTGAAGCAAATTCCAGTTAGAATTTGGTTAACCAAATTCTGCCCGGATAAAATGGTTTATTGGAATACAGTCTACAATCAGTTATTTAGGTACATGTTTTTGTTCGGTCCCACTGATCCCTGATTTATATCTTCATTGTTTATTTATTTGGTTTCGTTATTTATTTGATTTAGTGGCTGTCCCCTTATTATCAATAATCTTTTTTTGGGTTAGGCGGCCTGAGCAACAAATGACAAACCAAATAAACCAGTTTGTCCCTTGGTTGGCCATTTCGGTTGTTTCGTGATTTGGTCAAGAATTGGATCATCCACCATTCAGTCAAAATTCTGACAAACTGTAATTCATCTGAAACATAATATGCAAAAGCCCCTCTGCAAATACATTTAAAAAAAAAAAAAAAAATAAAAAAAAAAAATATATATATATATATATATTTGTGTGTGTGTAATCAATAATGGTTGGTTTGATTGTACCCTGAATGACTTGTATTGTGTCCCGATCATTAACAACTGGTTTAATTAAAACTCTGTGCTCGGATTCTAGCACAGACACTCCATGCCATGAGCATCGATGGCTTCCAAGCATACTTGTGTTCACCAGAAGGATCCATCTTCAACTTCGAACACGAGCAGCTTTTCCTAGATATGACGCAACCGCTGTCTCATTACTTCATCTCATCTTCTCATAACACGTACCTTATGGAGGACCAGCTCCGAGGGCAGAGCAGTATCGAGGGTTATATCAAGTGAGCAGCTTCATCTATTCTATTCATAATGGACCAATCATGGGCAAACTCTGACATTCCACCCACTGTGGACCCCAGTCATGCCATATTGAAGTGTCTGGTGAGGTTGCCAGATACGCTATAGTCTTGGACACATATAATTTGTTCTTTACAGTTGGCAATACATGAAATGCAATTCTTTGAAGTTTGTATGTTTAAGTGCAGAAAGCAAATCAATTAACCGATCAATGCTGTTTCTTTGATATTCCTCCTTGATCAATGTTTTTATTTCCATGCTAGAGTGCACAAATCTTACATATTGCAGGGTAGCACTTTTCATGTACTGCCCATCCCAATATAGCAATATTTGGTACCCAGGAAAATGTGGCAGACCGGACAACCCTAGTGCTAGTAGCTTTTTATCATTGTTCTGGAACAAAATACACTGCCAGGCCAAAAATAAGTCACCACCAAATAAAAGGTCATGCTTGATGCGTGCCAATAATTTGACCCTTCTCAAACAGACTAACATCTTTTCCATGACCACAGGATTAGTGATGTCCCGAACGGTTCGCCACCGATGGCGAACATATGCACTGTTCGGTCCGCCCCCTATTCGTCATCATTGAGTAAACTTTGACCCTGTACCTCACAGTCAGCAGACACATTCCAGCCAATTAGCAGCAGACCCTCCCTCCCAGGCAGGGCTGGACTGGGGATACAAAGCAGCCCTGGAAAAAAAATTTGTGCCAGCCCCATAAGTCACTGCGCCATATATTGTCACGTGTAATATGTAAGGCTATGTCTTGCCAGGACAGATGATTGAGTAATATATATATATATATATATATATATATATATATATATTGCTTTTTCTAATATAAAATATTGGTCCTTTCAGGGTAAAGCGTTTAATTATACAGTAAGCATACGCACATGCAGACACAGGCAATTTCACTGACATTTCAGTGACACACACAAGCTCATTGATACACAGCCTCATAGACAAACAATCTTACTGATATACATCAGCTCATTGACATAAAAACACAAGCTCACTCACTAGCAGGCACACGCATGCAAGCAAGCTCACTCACTAGCAGACGCACACACACAGCTTAATGTGGTGGTACTGGTGTCTATAGCATGTCCCTACAGGCATTTTCAACGTAAACACTGACTTTTCAGACAAAAGGCAGTGTTTACATTGCTTCAAAGTGACACTGCTAGTGACAGTCCCTCAGACGGTCACTAGAGGTGCTTCCTGTGTTAGTGCCCTCCCGCCCTCGCGCGCTGCTGAATGAGACTGGCGCCGGAATATGACGTCATATTCCGGCGCCGGTCTCATTCAGCTGCGTGCTGGGGAGCAGAGCCAGCGCAGCTCGCTCAGCGGCCGCCAGGACAAGTCCGCCAGCGGCCGCCAAAAGACCTCCCCAGCGGCCAGGGGAGGGCTGGCAGCCTTAGGCCTGGGGGGCAAAACCAGTCAAGTATCCCATTGCACCACCAAATCAGTTCACCATCCATGCCCACCTTTTCCTGGTTTTATAACGGATATTGATGTTATGCTAATCAGTAGTTCTTTGCCATACCCGCTCCTTCACGGCTCCAGGCACTGCTTGTTGTGAGTGTGAGCCACTGTAAATTAGGGGCAGAGGGCACTTGCACTGCGGTAAAGACGGGGCTGGGTAGGAGGAGAGTGCAGTGCAATCAGTGCACTCCCCTCCTGTAGGTCACCAGTAGACTGGTGCACCTGCCCAGGATCAGAGCCGGTGCAAGGATTTTTGCCGCCCTAGACAAAATAAAAATTTGCTGCCCCCACATGTCACATCACAATGCCCCACCCATATGATCTGCCATATGAACTAACGCCAGTGCTGCACACAGTGTGTTTTTACTTTAAAAAGCCTGCAGGGACCAGCTATAGACACCAGAACCACTTCATTAAGCTATAGTGTCCCTTTAATGTGAGGTAAATTATAGATTAGTGTCACTAATAATATACTAGATTGCCTACTTACAAGCAGATGAGGATGATGATGGGCTGCAGTTTGGCTCCACTGGTCCTGTGTAGAACAGGATCTCTGGAGGCTGTTGCAACTGTGGTCACAAAATTCAATGTTCTGGGAGTGGAGTAAGCTCCATTTTTGGGCCCCGCCCGCACAGCTCAGGTCTGGGCCCCAGGGCCTGACGGTGAGTATGCCCATAAGGCCCACTCATAAGTTCCACCCACCCATGAGTTCGCTCACAGGGAGTGGAGTGTGTAGGGGATGTGTTATGTGTTGTTGTAGAGGATCTAATATGTGTGCTTATGGTATGTAGTGTTTAGGGTTACCAGTTTGTGTAGGGGATGTGTTATGTGTTATTGTAGAGGATCTAATATGTGTGCTTGTGGTATGTAGTGTTTAGGGTTACCAGTTTGTGCAGGTGATGCAGTGTGTTTGTGTGTAGTGGAAGCAGTGTGTATTTGTGTATAAGGGATGTATTATGTGTTTCTGGTTGTGTGTAAGGGATGCATTGTGTGAATCTATGTTTGTATGCATAAGGGATGCAAGGTGTGTGTCTGTATGTGTGTGCATGAGATGCATTGTGTTTCTGTGTGTATGTAAGAAAAGAAGTGTGTGTGTTTGCATGCGTGTGTATGGGTTTGCATTGTCTGTTTCTGTGTGCAAAGGATGCATTGTCTTTGTGTGTAAGGGTTGCATTGTGTGTGTGTGTGTGTGTGTAATGGATGCATTGTGTGTTTCTCTGTGTGTAAGGGAAGCATGTTGTGTTTCTGTGTATGTATAGGGATGCATTGTGTGTGTGTGCGCGCGTAGTGTGAAAGAGCTCCCTGTCTTGGCCCCTGTCCTATAGAGCTGCCCCTTCTTCTTATTCCCCCCCTCCCCTCTTCTTATTCCCCTCCCTCCCCTCTTCTTATTCCCCCCTTATCTTATTCCCCCCCTCCCCTCTTCTTATTCCCTCCTCCCCTCATCTTATTCCCCCCTCCCCTCTTTTTATTCCCTCCCTCCCCTCTTCTTATCCCTCCCTCCCCTCTTCTTATCCCCCCCTCCCCTC